GAATGTACAAATGCGCTTTACACAATTGATGTGTGTATGGATTGTGATAAGAGTTGTATGAGCCCCTAATAAAATGATTAAAAAAAGAAAAGTGGATCATGTGTCTGTGGGGATGCATGATGGGTGAAGAGCCCCTGACTGCAAGCTTATGTGCTCTTCGGATGCTCACAGAACAAGGGCAAGACCAGATTCCCAGGTGACCTGCTATAGACATCGCTCTCACTAGCTCCAGGGCGGAGACTGACCCACAATGCTGTGCATCCTGATCCTTAGGGCATGGCTCTGTCCTGTATCTCGTCTTTGCAGCCCAGGGAAAGCCCCTATGTGGGGCTTTGTGATATCCTGCACCTGCCAGGCCTCGGGAAGTGAGGGATGGTGGCGACAGAGAGAAAGTCCTCTTTCGGGTAAATCAAAGGCCAATCATCAGGTGTGAGGAACTGCTGTTAGAAAAGGCAGCTTGAAAATTCCACCTGGATTCGAGACTCATGTCAAGACTTTGAAATGGCGTTAAGGGTCCGCCGCGTTCAGACTGCTCCTCTGGCGAGTCAAGGGCCCTGGACTTTGCAGCCCTCCCACGTTTACCACGGCCGCTTCTCCATACCGCTATAGAGGGCACGTGGCTGTGGTGAGCAGTGCCATAATGGGCCTGGTGCCCACGCTTGCTGAGCCCATGCTTTCAGGTCTCTGGGTAAATAGGTACCCAGGAGGGGCTTGCGAGGTGCCTGCAGCACTCTTGACCCACTCTTGTTGGGACAGCACCTGCACCTCCCTCCAGGCCCATCTTCTCCTTTGAGGCCCTCCTGAAAGTAACACACACACACACACACACACACACACACACACACACACACACAGGCTCGGCCACATCCGGTGGGAATCTGGGAATCCTAGGAGCTCTGAGGAAGCCCTGGTGGTATAGTGGTTACGTGTTGGGCTCTGATGGTCGGCAGTTCAAACCCACTCGCAGCTGCGAGGGAGAGACTGGGCTTTCTGGTGACAGTCTCGGAAACGCTCAGGGGGTGGCGATGAGTCAGCATGGACTCGATGGGGCAGGAGCTCTGAGGTCTTGGAGGGCAGGGACCCTTGGAGGGGCTATCACAAGATGGCTAGCTCTAAGCACAGTGCCTGGCCCCAGGTGGCTCAAAATGGGCCCTAAAGGAATAGGCACATGAGGAGGCACCTGAGTACATGAACCTCTCAATTCATCAAGTTCACTCCCTTAGCCCTCCACACAGCAGGAGGAGGGCAGGAGAAGGGGGATGGGAGAGAACGGCCTTCAATATTCCCAGCACAGAGCCATCAGCGGCCCCCAAATCTGTGGCTGTCAGAGTGCATTGTGACTCACAGTGAGCCAATCCCGCCTTAGCAATGTAGCCCTCCAAGACCCGCGCCTGCTCTATCTGCGTGTCAGATGACGGACTGGCCTTGATTTCCAGTTTAGAGGTGACTGGGCTGGCCAAATTGAGGTGGGACAGGGGAGCCTGTGACCTAGGGGAACCTACTTCCGGGCCAGCCCATGCTTGGTTCTGAGCTCTGCTGAGGGGAGAGTTGAGGCTTGGGTGGAAGGAGCCCTGGCCCAGTCCCAACCCAGTTCTTTCTCAGCCTGACTCAGCTAGAAGGTCTGTGTGAGTGGGCCCCTGGGCTCCTGGTCCCAGGGGCCAGGATGTTTGCAAGGGGAGCTGGGGCATCCTGGCATCTGGGTCTGGGGGAGGGTCTGAGGTGGGGTGGGTGGGGAGCTTTAGCAACCTAAAGCTTGTCCCAGAGAGGCTTCAGCTGGGACTAATTGGCTTGCCCTCCTCCTCCTGCCTGAGAAAGTCTTGGCTAATTTGCCGGAACGCTCCAGTTAAATGCCAATTAGAACGCTCTGTCCACTGCTCTCTTCCAATATATTAATAATGTAATTAAGCATTTATTGCCTGCGCAAATTAAAAACTAACTTAAACGGACAGCCTGGAAAACTGAGGAAGTGACCGCTTGAATGACCAATTTGCATCTCATTCAAATACCAACATCTAAACATGGCCGCTCTCGGGTGCTGGTTGCTTTGGCCTGCCAGTGACAAGCCCTACCAGCTGCTAACAGCTGTGGTCTTCTCCCCGCCTGGCTGGGCCCACCCCAGCCCAAGGTGTACAGGGCCCGGCCTTGGCCCACATGGGAAGGAGGGCTTTCCACGAGGCAGCCACCTTGGCAGCTCCCAGCTTTCCCACCCCCTTCCCCTTTCTCAGGGGTCTGTGATATGGGTTTCAGTGAAAGGAGATGCTACTGGGGGTGACTGGGAGGGGGCAGCCACTGAAGCCCCTGCCCCCTCCTACCCTCAGGATCAATTTGTCCTGCATTCCAGCCCAGGAGATGAGAAGCAGATGGTGGTAGCATGGGACAGGGTGTTCTAACAGAGGGACACGGAGACCCTCTCTCTAACCAGCCCCACAGAGAGACTGGGGAGGGGTCTCAGAGGGCTGAAGGGTCCTGGAAATAGAAGATGAAAGGGCCAAGCGCCCATGTTTTCTCTCCATGGATCTGTCTTAGATAACAGGTGTGAAGTGGTGATCTTTCTCTCCAAACAGCCACAGCAGGGGGCTGGCAGCAGGGCACGCGGGGACAAGGGGAGTGGGGAAGAGACTGAGAGGGCTCTCAGACAGCAGGGGCTGAGCTCCAGGATAGCAGGGGCCCTTCCCCGCAGTGCCCATCTCTCCATGATTGCTCCATTGCTCGGGCCTTCCTCCTTGAAGCCCTCCCTGACTGCCTGCAGACACCAACAAAGACCCCTCCTTCCAGAATCCCCGCTGCTGTGCAAGGGGCCAGGAGTGGTCTCAGGTGGGTCCCTCCCGTTCTCCTGTGAGGCTTGTGCAAGATGATGGTTTGGGGATCCTGACACAGGGTGCGGGGCTCTTCCTCTCCCTGCTGTGGGTGCTCTGACCATCTCGGCCAGCTCCGGCTTGCTCGGTATTGGCTATTAGCCGCAGACTGGCTGTTCACATGAGCCGTTTTTTGGAGAAAGACGAGACTACCTTCTCCCGTAAAGACCTATAGTCCCAGAAACTCTACATAGCAGGGGCTCCCAAACTTATTCAGCCTCCTGCCCCCTTCTCAGGGAAAAAACCAACAACAACGACAAAAAACTCCACAGCTGGCGATGAAAACCTTTCGTACTATAGGCCATAATCCAGGGTAGTCTCACTGCCATTGAGTTGAACATTAATACTGCTAGAAGCAGCCCAGGGGCCTCTCTGGGTCCAGCTCCCCCATGTCTCTCTGTCCTGTGGTTCGGAAGACCCCAGAATTTTCTCCCCCAACTCTACCCCACCCAGTACCTCCACTGCCATGAGGACGGAGCTGCCCCAGGGCTGGCATGGCTTCAGACTTCTGCTGGGGCTGGGGCAACGGGAGCAGGGGGCCCAGGGTTGCCCTACCAGGGGCTACTTGTAGCCCCGTCACTTACCCAGCGTCAAGTGGATGGGGGGGGGGGGATATATAAAACAACCATCTTTCTCCAGAGATAAAGTGTAGCCACCTGCTTCTGCAGCCCCCCCCCCATCATTCCAGTGCCCCCAGGGGAACTGCGATAAGGGTCCGTATGAGTCACAATAAACTCAGTAGGCCTTTCCCCATTCCAGCCCCGACTGCTCGGGAGAAGGGCCACAGGTGGGAATCCAGGGGCAGGATACGCGGGTTTGTTTTAAACACTTTATTTATAAAAAAGTACATTTTTTTTTTCCTTAGTACATTTTTAACCCATATTTTTTTTATACAAGTAAAAGGGGGTGGGTGAGGCAAACACCCCCGGGTCAGAGCCAGGAGGTCCGCCAGGGCAGGCAGTGCCCAGGACCAAAGACTAAACCAGGACATAGAAACTGAAGCGAAGGGTCACACTCAGGTGAGGGGCGGCAGCTTCTCCTGGATTTCCCATTTATACAAAGAGAAGCCCTGTTGCTCACAGCAGGGCGGAGAGGCGGCAGCACCAGCAGACAGCACAGGCCTGCGGGCTCGCCCTGGGCAGCTCCCCCGTTGGCGTCTGGGGTCGGGAAGGGGGCTCTGTTGATGGGGTTTGGACATCTGTCTGGACCCTCAGAGGTGTGGGACCCTTCCCTGCTCCCGAGAGGGAGGGCACCCCCACCGTTAGCACCCCCCACCCCCGCCTGTTCCTAACAGTTTCTGACTGCTCCGCGTTGAGGATTATTGCACAAGTGGCTTGGGCACATGGGGGTGGTTGGCAAAGGGAGTGCATGACCCGGGGATAATGGGGGCCCCTGCGAGTCTCGCTCACGGCCGGAGCAGCGGGCATCACGGGCTCTCCCTACTGGCTTTCAGCGGGACCGAACCCGCGCCTTTGTGTGCACGCATGCGCATACTGTGCTCCGTCTGTGCGCCGCACCTGTGTTGGGTAATGTGCTTGGTCTGTCTGAGCATGCGCCCACTGTGTGCCACTGTGTGCAGAGCTGTGCCCGCGGCCACCCCCGCAGGTGTGCGTGCACGGGCTCCACGCTGCTGCTTCCTGGATCCTTCTGGAACACGGGGACTCCCATGGTCCCTTTATACTTTACAACAGTATCAAAGACAGTAGGGAAATAGGGCTGTGGGCCAAGGCGGGCAGGGAGGGGGATCAGGCAGGAGAGGCAGGAGAGCTGGGGAGGTCCTGGCACAATAGTGCCAGGTGGATCTCCTTGTCCGCAGAGGTAGAAGCTAAGCTCTCACTGTGGGCATGGAAAAGCCATGTCCCCTCAGTGCTCTGCCAGGCCAGCTGTCCAGCCCTCTGCAGCAGGACCCATCCTCTCATATCCTATGAACTTGGAGCCCAGAAACCTCCTCTCTCTAGGCCCATGTGCTAAGCCTGCCCCTTGCCCACCCTTAGCCCAGGGCAGTGTCCGGTCATCCAGAAAGCAAGGGAAGCCTGAGCTGAGTGTGCTTATTAATTTGTAGCGAACACTTTGACATGAGTTTCAAGGCGGCGAGCCCCTTGTGACTTGTCCACTACAGATTAGTAAGCAAGCACAAGTCAGCACATGCTTACCTCGATCGTTGGGCAATCCGACCCTGGCCCTGTTGCAGCCATCCAGGGTGGGTATGCTGCTGCCAGGGATCTGGGGAGGCAGAAGGTGCCAGCCTGGCCTACTCTGTGTACGTCCCACAATTTGTGCTTTGCTTGGAGGGAGAGTCCACCCGAATAATGAATAGAGGTGGCAGTGCAGGGCAAGGAAGGGGATGCAGTTGGGGGGGGGGGCGTCCTTTCAGTGTTTTGCTGTCAGGGGGCAAGGGAGTGCCGCCATCAGGCAGGCCTCTGGGATTGACTCTGGGGATGAGGGGACCAAGTTCAAGGGCCAGAGGAGGTGACATGAGGTGGCATGGGCAGCCATGTGACGTGAGAAGGGTCCTCTGCTCTGGGTGGGAGCATTTATACTGCCAGGAGAAGCAGCCCAGCGGGGCTCTCTTGATTCAGCTCCCTCCTGTCTCTCTGCCCCAGAATTTTCTCCCCCAACTCTACCCTACCCAGTACCTCCACTGCCAAGAGGGCAGAGCCGCCCCAGGGCTGGCATGGCTTCAGACTTCTGCTACATGGCTACTGGGCGGTCTGTCTGGGGCAATGGGAGCAGGGGCCCAGGGTTGCCAGGACAGAGCTGGAGCTGGCTAGGGGTTCAAGTAGCAGCACCAGGGTAGGAGGGATCGGCTGGGGGATGAGAAGCTCCCTGGGGAAGTCTGCAGTAGGGCAGGACAGGGTAGTGCCCGTGGGGCACAGATTGTTCTGTCTCCTTCCCCTCCCCCCAAACACCTGCCAACTCACAGAACCCTTGGCATGCTGGGATGGGTAAATGAATCCTAGCGGGCAGGTACAAGTGGTTCTCAGAGCCCGCCTCCCCATCCCAGGACTCTTCCTGCAAGTATGCCTGTGGAGAGTGCTGGGGGGACCTGGTGGACAGATGGAGGAACTGAGGCACTTTGAGCTGAGGTGCAGTGGGCTGGGTGGGAGCCTTCCTCCAGTGTACAGATGACACCCAGGGTCCCACCCAGGGAGGGGACACAGCACTCAAAGGGAAGGCCTTCTCCAAGGCCCTCCCTCCATCCCAGAATGAAGACCTGGGGCATCTGAGCAGGAAAAGGACTATGGGTGAGCAGAGGGGGTCTTCCCCTGACCCCTGCATTTACTGGTGAGTCCATGACATCCTCTGGGGCCTGTCTGTCAGGCTGGGAACGCAGCTGGCCTACCAGAGAGCTTCTCCCAAGCCCCACTGGATCAACTCCTTCCCTGCGTGAGTCCCAGCCCTGGATCTCCCTGGTCAGACGAGAATCTGGAGTTGCTAGCACTGCAGAGAAGGAGGGCACTGGAGAAACTTCTGTGCTGTTAAGAGGCAGTGTGGGGCCCATCTGAGATCCTGGGCAGAGGCACCTGGTCTCAGCTGCCCTAGAAGCTTCTAAAGGCTGCCTCCAGTCTCAGCTGGGACCGGGGAAGAGGTGGTGCAGAGAGGATGAGACTTGGGAGGGTTAGCCTGGGTCAGGCATGTGACCCAGGGGAGGGCAGAGCAGCTGAGTGGGGTGTGCATGTTTATGTGTGTGTGCGCACTTACGTGTGTGGTGGCAGCAGACAGGAAGTGCAGGCAGATGTCCCTACAGTCCCACTGTGTGTGGGGTGGATGGGAAAGTTGAACAGGAGGAACATGACAGATCTGGGCCAACTGAGCTCTCTGTAGGCCAATGAGGGAAAACCCCCCTAAAGCCAGCCTCATCAGCAAACACACTACTCAAGGCCCCCCACTCCCATGGGGACCTCAACTCGATTCACTTAGCAAATAAAACTCCCCTGGGAGCTTTGGAGAAGCCACGCCCCTGTAGCCCCACCTGTGGGGAACAACCACTTTCTGGACTGGGGGGTGTCCAACGTCCCAGGTGCATCAGCGCACTGTGGGGGGGGGGTGTCGCAGGGGCTGGGGGGGAGAGCGCTCTTGTCCTGGGAAAGAGGAGCAGCATGTGGAGGTGGGGCCGTGGGGGTCTTCCTCATGGACCCCGCCCCCCTTCGCTCTCCACCCCAATGAGGAGAACACAAACAAATTCCAGTGTTTCGGGGTGGGGAGTGCTGGCTCCTCACCCCTGGAGGGACGCCCAGGAACACAAGCCGAGGATGGGCTCCCTACATGGTGGACAGGCAGGTGGGGCAGTACAACAGAGGGCACAGCAACACCAAGGCCAAGGGTGACACAACACCGGGGCGACAGGGGCGGGGAAATAAAACAGCCAAGTCGTGCCGCCCGCCCGGCTCCCCTGCGCCCCAGGAATCCAGGCCGGCTCTGGGCAGTTCCGTGCGTCTGTAGCGCTCTGTACAAAGGGGATGTGGGGGCTGGGCAGGGGGCGTGCGGGTGGTGGCTAGGGAGAGGTCGGTGCAGACAAGAGGCTCTGCAGAGGGTTGGGGCAGGGGTGGGGGCTACACGTACCACTCCTTCTTGGAAATGAAAGACCCGTCGTTCTGAGAAACCATGTTCTCAGCCAAGTCCAGCTGCTCGGGGTCATACTGGTAGCCCAGAGTCCGGTCCCCATAGCCGTCCTGGCGGGCCTCAGCCTCGTCCACCGTGAAGTAGGGCCGTTTGGCGTCCTCGTCATATTTCGGGTGCGGGCCACCCACCTTGCGCTCGCCCCCACCGCCACCCTCCTCTTCCTCTTCCTCCTCGTAGCTGCTCCCCCCGAGCGGGCCGGCCTTCTTCTCGTCGTCTGAGTCATCGGGGTACTGCAGGTTCTGGGCCATCGGGGGGTGGTGCTGGGGGATGCCCGCCTTGCTGTAGCCGTTGCCGTACACATGCTTCTTGGTGCTGTAGTCGCCCTTGAAGGTGTGGCGGCGCCTGCGCAGGGCGACCACGATCCCGCCGACCACGATCAGCACCAGCAGGACGCTCCCCACCACGCCCCCAATGATGGCTGTGGGCACAGGCCCGGCTCGCCGCCCGTGTTCGGGAGGAGACGGGGTGTAGGGGAATTCTGGATGGGGAAAAGAAATGGAAGGGACAGTGTTAGTGGCTGTACCTGGGGCAGGGGGAGGGTAGGCTGTGTGCACACCCCCCAGATCTGAGCAGCTCGGTCCCCCAGCCTCCCCACAGTGGCTGCTGGAGTGAGACCCAGGCAGTTCTCCAGCAAGACTTTCTCTGGGAGGCGGTGTCAGTCCGGCTCAGGCCACCAGGGGTCCAGGGGGAACACTGCCAGAGTGGCCCTGACCTAGCAGCAATTAGAAACCGGGCCTGCCCAGCAGGACGGTTCTCCATCCTCTGGCAGCCTGGCAGGTAGGTTTACCATCAGCAGCTTCCACTGAACAAGGAAAGCGAGGTTTAGCGAGGTTAAAGAACATGCCCAGATTCACCCCAACAGGGAGGGTGAGCCGATTGTCCTGCAAGGTGGCCCTGCAGGGAGAGGAGGGCCCTGGAATGCTGCCAGCAGAAGGGCACAGGCTCACAGCGGGCAGAGGAGGGGGCATGAAAGCAGCTGCACACGAGAGCGCAATGTAGGGCTGGGCTCCTGGCCCGGTCATTGTGTGATGACTGGGAGCACACTGACCGAGGGCAGGAATGAGGGAAAGGAAGCAGGTGGGAGTGTAGAGAAGATAGGGTGGGGCCTGGCCCAGGTGTGGTTCTGGCCTGGGTGAGCGGGAGCCGAGGCTAACAGGGTCCCAAGGCAAGGCTAGGGGAGGTGGTTCCCAGCACCACCACAGGGTGGCATCGAAGACCACGCTGACCTTGGAGTTGAGGTCAGCAGGTCTCCAGGGCAAGCCCAGAAAGCTGGTGTGGCGGCTCTCCCTTCTCTCTTCAAGTGCCCACAAATGGGTTAGTTTGGGCAGAAGCTCTGGGCCCTGGGAATCTGTTCTTGCCAGCTCATCTCTGACTCAGGATCACTCATGCACCAGGCATCCGAACGGAGCTTCTCCTCGGAGCCCCATCCCTTGTCCTGGAGGAGTGCATGCGTGCGTGTATGTGCGATAGGCAGCACAGCAGAGGTGGGGTGGAAATTCTAGAGAAAGCCTCCGGCTTCCTTCTTCCTTGGGCTGAAAGCGCTAATGCTTCTAAAACCCTGGGGCCCAAAGAAGGGGAGGCAGTTTGCCCAATGTCACGCGGCCGAGTGGGGACCACCCAGATGCGCGTTCCTGGCCTCTCCACATGTGGGGGTTGCCAAGAGAACAGCCCAACTGTTGCAGACTCAGCTCCTCGCTTGCCGCCACTGTGTCCTCATGCAGGTCACCGAGAACTGCCCAGTAAATACTTCCCAATGGATGCCTGTGTCCTGAATACCTCCCTGAAAACGGAAGCCTCTTCTGACTCACCAGGTGCTCCTCATTGTGCTCCCCACAACAGGCTGCACACCCGCTTCCCGCTCCCCGTGCGGTGGAAGTCACCTCCCCATGCGCTGTTCCAGAGGCAGCTGGCAGGAGCCTGCGTTCTTCAGCACTTCCAGTGGGCCTGACTTCTCTTAGTCCTCGCTCCAGATCTGAATTCTCTCTCTTCGCTACACCTGCCTTCGTCCGTTCATCTGTCTGCCTGTCCAATCAACAAACACGCACCGAGCATCTATCATGCTAATCACAGCCTCACGGAGGCCCCAGCTGCTGCTGTTAAAGCCACAACACCAGGCAAACACCACGGGAATGGGCCACAGGAATGAAGACGAAGAACAGGGTGACCTGGAGCTGCAAAAGGCTTGTGGGAGGAGAGGTGAATTAAGCCAAGCCTTGAAGTATGGCCAGGACTTAACTTTGCAAGGTCAAGGGAACAACAAAACTGCCTGGGTTGAGGGAACCAGCCTTGCTTTTCTTAAATGTTTTCCCTGTATTCCAAGACAAGACTTTCTTGTCCCTTAGCATTCCTTGTTGTCTTTGGCTACATCGCTGGATCTTCTTGGTGCCCGTCACCTCATGAGGGGCCCTGCCTCTAGGTTTCCAGCATTTACCCCCGTCCTTCTTTCCTACTGGCAGATCTGGGCTCGCTGGATGAGTTACCCTTTACTCCCAAGTTTCCAAACCATCTCAGGTCTGGACTTCCACCCAACTCTGAGACTGTATCCTTAAAGATCTCTTGGATATTATTTTCCAGATTGTGGTCTATGGAACCTCGATCCATTGGTCCTGAGGATCAGCCAAACCACTAGGGTCTGACACATTTGGGAACTGTTGGTTTAAACAGAGAGCACTCAGGCTTTGTGCACACTGATCCTGTGGAAGGGACGAGCAAGATAGTGTTCCCCAACTGCTTTGAGCAGCGGTCCTCAAACTTTTAAAACGGGGGGCCAGGTCACTGTCCCTCAGACCTGCTGGAGGGCCGGACTATAGTTAAAAAAAACAACTATGAACAAATTCCTATGCACACTGCACATATCTTATTTTGAAATAAAAAAACACCTGGCGGGCTGGATAAATGTCCTCGGCGGGCCACATGTGGCCTGCGGGCCATAGTCTGAGGCCGCCTGGCTTTGAGTGTGAACTCCACTCTCTTGACTGCTTCCAGGACCTAGTGGGACAAACTCTGAAAAATTCTTCTCTAGCGCACCCACATTTGGAATTCTCACTCCCACTTCGAAACCCATCTGTTCTAACCATCTCCTTCTTAAACCCTCCCCACTCAACATCATAGCCCCCGTTTCAGCCACTGCCGTCATGCTGGTGGGCTCTTCCAGCCCAGACTCCCAAAGCTCCCTTGGATCCTGCCTTCTTCATTTCTTGGGTCTAAATCTGCCTTTACGTTTTGTTGATTCTTCCTATTCAATATCTCATTACTTTGCACCTCATTTGGCTATCGTAACAGACTCCCGAACCTCCCATTTCATTTGGGTCTGGCTTCCCTTTAGCCATCCCATCCAGAGCGGCCAGGCTAGTCTTCACCATGCAGACACCGCCACTCCCTCTGACCATCAGGGACTCTTCACTGCCCAATGGACCAGGCTGGTCTGGCCCTCAGAGCTTCCCGTCAAACAACGTAGAGTGGGTTTGGCCAGCTCACTTTCCTGCCTGTCCACGTGGACTCCTTAACTGCCTTTGCTCACACTGCTTGCCCTGCTAAGAATGCTTTTCCTCTTGCCTCTCCAATTCTTGACTCCCTTCTTCACACAGCCTTCTCGGCTCCAGCGCCCATGTATCTTTTTCATACTAATAGCCTGCATCTCTCATTTTGGTTTAAGCAATTGTCCACACCATTCCATCAATTATACACTGCTGTATTACAGTAAAACAAAACCAAACAAAACACCCACTGCCACCGGGTTCATTCCAACTCAGAGACGCCACAGGGCAGAGTAGCACTGCCCCTTTAGGTTTCTAAGACTATAAATCTTTATAGGCGTGCCCAGCCTCCTCTTTCTCCTGTGGAGCACCTGGCGAGTTCTATCTGTTGACCTTGTGGAGTGCAGCCACATGCATGCCATATGGCACCATGGCTCTTGTGATCAAACACCCTGCCATAAACACCCTGTGAAGCAGGATCTGCCACCCTGGACTGTGCCCCTTCTGCCAGTTCTCAGATGGGCATGGGCTGAAGCTCGTCCCTTCCGCGGGAACAACCAGAGGGATTTCGATGTTGGAGGCACAGGACATCGTGGGATCAACTCCATTCCATGTGTTGCTGTTGAGTCCAAGGAATTCCATTCAATTTACTATTGTGCTTTTTGTGGTAGCAGAGACCAAGGGACAAAACAAAGCTCTCCTACATTTGATGCCACTGGAATGGATATTGTGGACCCCCATCAATCATAGGATGGCAGAGTTATTGATAACCCGTTTTACGAGAATGGCTTGTGTTACAAACTAGTCTGTAAATTCCAATTCAAAGGAAATCTAGAAGCCATCTCTGTTAGTGCACCCACATTTGGTGCACTAATGTACAAGCACCCACATTTGGTGCACCATGGCGCAAACTGCCACCTTCTGGATGATTACAATCCCCTCTTTCTCTCTATAGCCTATTTCAACACAGCAGCCAGAGAAAGCCTGTGAACATGGTTCTCACATCATGTTGCTTCTCTGCTCAGAGCCCTCCACAGGCTCCCCCAGGTTCACCTAGAGTAAAAGCCGGTGTCTGGAGACCTAAAAAGGCTCTACATGACTTTGGGCTCTGCTCTTCATCTGACTTACTGCTTGCTTTTTTCCTGGCTCCCTCCACCCCAGGCACACTCCCACCTCCGAGCCTTTGCACAGCCTGGAAGGTGCTTCCTCGGTTGTCGTGGGTCTCACTCACTCACTCACTCATCTCCTTCAGGGCTTGATTCAAATTTAAAATGGGAGCTAGCGATCCCCTTTCCACCTCCACATTTGACACTCCACCCCTCTTACCCTGCTCCTCTTTTCTCCATTATCCCTACCACCTTCAAAAGGATGTGATTTTTTAAAAAATGCATGCTATGTAGGTTATCTGTCACCCGTGCTAAAATGTAAACTCCAAAGGGGCAGAAACTTTGTTTTGTTCACATTAGGGCCTGGCCCCTGGGGGGAGCTCAGAACTATTTGTTTTGTGGAAAGAACAGATTGGGAACAGGAATCTGTTTAGAAGCGTGCCCTGTTATAAACGCACACATTCACGAGGCATTCAGTAAGGTATCGCCCACCACCTCATTTCCCTGGGGCTGCTGGGTGCAGGCGTGGGGCGGGGGCTTGGTCTCTTTCCTCCCAGTCTTACTGCTTCACTTTGAAAGGAAGAGTCCCGCAGGTTCCCTCTTCCCCGGGATTTCTCAGCATCGAGGAGAACCCTGGCGCACTCTGGTTACCTTGGAGTCAGCCTGGTTGAGAGCCAGGAGGAGGGCTAAGCTGACCTCGTGTCCTTACAGAGCTCAGAGTGAAGATGCTTAGCGAGTGCCTGGAAGAGCCGAGTTGGTGTGGGCACGCAGTTTATCCACAAACAGAGGGGACTGGCGCATCCTCCCTCCATCCCTACCCCACCAGCTGTCACATTCAGCCAGCAGTTCTTGTCTCTGTGCCAAGAGCAGGCCCTGGGGCACAGCTGGAAGGGCCC